TGCGGGTCAGGAGTGAGGGGCGCCGGCCGGGCCGGGGGCTGCGGGTCGGAGCGGGGGGCGCCCTGCGTCACGCCTGTCTCTCCAAGGCCCCGTGACGAATGTCTCTGGGGCTTTATATCCCGCCCGCGCCCCGACGCCCCAGCCATGCTGACGGCCGCCCTGCTCCTGGTGCTGGTGCTGCTGGCCCTGGCCGTGCTGGGGGGCGGGCGGGGGGCTCGTAGGGGGGGCGGCTTGAGCGCCCTGCCCGGCCCCTGGGCCCTGCCCCTGGTGGGGGGGCTGCCCCACATGCTGCACCCCGAGCTGCCCCTGCACCTGCTGGAGCTTGCCCGGCGCTATGGGCCCGTCTACCGGCTCCGCTTCGGGCCCAAGGGTGAGCGGGGTCGGGCTCCCCCCTGCCGGCCCCCCCTGGGATCCCCCTTCCTTCCCCCTGTGCCCTGGCCCCTCCCCCACCCGGCCCCCCTTCCTTCCCCATGTGTCCTGCCCAGGGCCCCCCAGCTTACCCCCTCCCTGCTCTGTCCCGGCCAGGGTTCCCTCCCCTCCTGGGTCCCCCCATTAACGCCCCCGCGTGTGCCCCCAGACGTGGTGGTGCTGAACAGCGTGGAGTCCATCCGCCAGGCACTGACGCAGAAATGGTCCGATTTCGCCGGGCGCCCCCCCAGCTTCGTCGGTAATGGGGGGCTGTGGGCTGAGATGGGGGGTTGGGGCTGGTTTTGGGGGGCTGTGGGCGGGTGGGAGATGTGTTGCCGGAGGGTTTTGGGGGGCTGTTCATGAAGGTATTTGGGGGGATCAGCCCCTCCTCCAGCTCCCTGAGCTCCGTCTCCCCTGGACTCTGCCATCAGTAGGGTCCAGAGTTAACATGGGAACGGGGCAAGTCCCGGGGGCTTGGGTGGGGGTGGGAGGGTCTCTGCCCGCTTGGTCACTAACCCTCCCCTCCCCTCCCCCCACAGCGGATCTCATCTCCCTGGGGGGCCACGATCTGTCCCTGGGCGACTTCACCCCTAGCTGGCGGCTGCAGCGCAAAGCGGCTCATTCGGCCCTGGCCCGCGCCCAGCGCCTGCAGCTGGACCCGGTGCTGGGGGCGCAGGCGGCCGCGCTCTGCCAGGTGAGGGGCCCGCTTCGCCCCCCAGGGACCCCCTGACCCCAGGGAAATACCACCCCCACTAGGGACCCCCT